ATTAACTTGTTCTGTAAGTTACAGTTATAAGTTCTCACTGCATCCTCTAATCTAAGACAGGACCATCTATGCCAATAAAAGCTCCTGGGTCAGACTTTAGGACTGGCCACCTGGATTTTGACAAATACCAATGCTGCCTCTTAAGGATTCCTGGGGGGATGCTCAGGAAACATACCTTTCTTTAATTGTCAACTGTCGGAAAATTGTTAACTAATCCTGCATATATATTGTGTCTTTTTTTCCTTTAGTATAAGAATCCCTGAGTGTAAGCACTGAGCAGAGCAGGCGTTTCCGGAGTCACTGGGACTTCATCTCTCATTGATGCACCTCCTAATTAAACTCTCTTCTTTTTACTGAAGTCTGGTATGGACTATTGGCTGTGCTGCTCCAGAGTTGGATCCTGACATTTTTGGGAAACAAACCTACACTTAAAAATAGAGTGTGTATGTGGGGAAACCCACTAAATTGATAACAGTTTACTATGTAAAGAACGGTAGCATAGTGCCTAAGGCACTTGACTGCTAACCAGAAGGCTGGCAGTTCAAACCCACCAGCCACTCCTCGGAAGGAAGGTTGGGCAATCCTACTTCTGTAGTGATACTGCCTTGGAAACCCAAGGAGGGGTCGCTATGAGTCGGGGCCGACTCGACGGCAAATAATAACAACAACAACAACATGTAAAGAATGTTCTTGAGGAATATGGAAAAAAATCTCAGAAGAAAGGTCTAAGATGCAAGAAGGAATGGTGGACAAAGAGAATGGCAAGCATAGATAAATGTAACATGCCCTCACTACATTAAAAATATATATATACTATCTAATTTGGAAGGTTAGAATGCAGAGAGACCTAAAATACAGGAAAATAAGACATTAGAAAGAAGTAATATAAATTAAAGTGTTTAAGATCCTTGTTTTATTCAAGAGGAGGGTAGAGATATTGATGTCTAAAATATATATGTTAAAATATGAAGAATAACTATTAAAAGGACTGATAAAGAATCTAATACTGAAACAGTAGCAGGGGGAAAAACCTACATCCAAAGAATTCCAAATAGTAATTATAATAAATGTAAATGGATTACAACTCACCAGGTTAAAAAAAAAAAAAAAAAAACCTATTGTCAGGATGGATTAGAAAAGGAAAATCCAGCTATATGTAGTTCTTAAGAGACCTACCTAAAATGTAAGGACACAGAATGTTTGGAAAGAAATGGATGGATAAAGACAAACCAGGCAAATACTAACCAGAAAAAATATGTTTAGTTATATTCATATCTGAAAGACAGATAAAGGCAACCATCATTATTAGGGAAAAAGAAGATTAAAACATGATTATAAAATGTTCAACAGGAAGGTAACATTTATAAACTCATATGCACATACTCTCAAAATATATAAAGGAAAAATTGACAAGGAGAAATTGAGAAATCCAACATCATGAGGGAGTTTAATACAATGTTTTTAGTAACCACTAAAAAAAAAAATCAGGTCATAAGAAAATGCAAACGAGATAATTTTACAATAATTGACAATTCTCAGTAAGTATTAAAGAATTGGTAGCTGGCCACATGTTGTTTGATTACAATGCAATAAAGATAGAAATTAGTAACAAAAGACTAACTTAAAAACATACTTCTATATAACTCACTGGTCACAAGAGAAAACATAATAGAAAGTATTTTTAAAAGCAAATTGTACATTATGATACAATATGATACTATTTATACATATTTAAGAACTTGTAAAACAATACTATGTATTTTTTATATATGATGTAAAAGTTTAAAGAAATATATGGTACTCAAATGCCACACTGAAGGCTGTTGTTTTCTTTCCAGTAGAAGGAGTATTGTGATTGAAGGGTAGTTTATGGTACTTTAACTGTACTGACTTCTTAAGGTGCTAGGTGGGTTCATGGGCATTTGTAGTATTATTCTTTATACTTGCTTAAATATGCACACTGAATTAAAAAACATTACAATGATGTTTGCCAAAATCCTCAAGCTTCCAGAAAAAAAGCAATAATTTTGATAAATATCTACCAGAAATGTTTATTTAAAGTTCAGGAAAACCAAGGCACTTTCTTAATCATACCCACATCTCCACCCACACATGCATACAACCACAAATCAACAGCCAGGTCCATGCCTACAAGTAAGAAGTAAAGGTATTTCTCATGAGTATGGAAAAGCCAAGGCTGCTATTTATCACCATTTTTATTTAATTGAACCCTGTCCTAAGAAAGCTATTCAATAGAATCAGGTAATAAAACAAAATAAAAAGTGTAAATATTAGGGGAAAAAGGACAAAATTATCATTACTTGCAAATAGGATTGTATCCCTAGAAAAACAAGAGAAATCAACAAAAACATTGAAAAAGAGACCAGTAATGACCAATTACAGAAAAAAAAATTTCACAATAGCAAAAACAAAATACTCAACAGATTTATGAAATGTAGAACTTATACGAAGAAAATTACAAATCCTTCAGAGACATATATAACTTATGAAGTACAAAAATAGTTAAAATTATGGTACTAAAATGGAATGAAAAGGAGACTGTGTGAATGTGTGTGGGTGAGTGCAGGTAAGTGGAAATTTAGCTTACGATGTTACTTCAAATCAGTGGAGAAAGATGAATTATTAATAATTATACTGGTCTATCTTGCTAGACATTCAGGGAAAAACAAAACAAGATTCTTATTTTATTTCATACCAAAATAAATTTAATCTGGATATGAGGTATAAGGGTAAAAAAAAAAAAAAGATTCATAAATGCACAGCAGGAAAATTTAGGTGATTAAAAAAATCAGCTTGGAATAGACAAGACCTTCCAACAAGACCTTACAACCAAAAGCTAGACATCATAAAGGAAAAGAAAGATTTAACAATATAAAAACAACTTGAGGTTGAACTTGTCATTTTAAGACCTTTTTTCCCTTATTCTCTTGAAAGCCACCTGCCCAAAGCAAAGAAATAAGAAACAAATTCTACCTTTCATAATACTAGGACACCTATAGCACTGAAACAGAATTTATGAAGGGAACAGATGGAGATTTTGCCAAACCTAAAAGGCTATGGAAGGAGACAGCAATGACAGTAAACAAATCACCCCACAGAACCCTGGAAAGGCTCATAACTGGAGATACCAAGCACCCCAGAAGGTGGGAATGGGAATAAAAACAAAAGAACTATAAAATTCTGAATAAAGAACAGTCAAACTCCCAGGTATCCTTCCCTCTACTGCAGCTGGATGCCTACCATAACTTTACTACTGCAGGAGACTAGCCTGATCTCTGGAGACACTGAATCAGAGATGTTCTAGACTCAGGAAACAGCACAGAGAGGGGTGTGCTACTGAAAACAGGGATTAAGTAAAATCTACTTAAAGTCCTCCCCACCACAAACTCCTAAATGTCTGCACCCAACTTACACCTCTCTGAGAAATCATCTCCAGATGCTGACATTTGTGGGTCCCAAATTAAAAAACTAGCTAGTTACCCTAACCATCCTATAGTTTAGCCCAAGAACTGAGATGCCCACATCCCTTACAATGGTATCTACCAGCTTTGCAATAACTCAATGCTATTATAACTGGCAGACAAAACCAAATATTTAAGAAAAACCACCACTACCACCAACACCACCACCCTCCTAAAAAAAGAAAAAGAGAATTCAAAAGTAACAATAAAATGCAGACAACATAAGAAAACATATAAGGCACTGAATGACTACTTTTGAGCAGTAAGTAAAATCTCACTGAAATTAAAAAATAGCTGAAATAAAAGGGTTCAAAGAAAAATTGAGGCTTTTAGGAGACAGGACCAAGAGGCAGAGATGGATAACAGGAGAGATAAGAAAACATTAGAGACTTCACTAGGAGTCTTATAGTTGAAAAACCACAATACTAACAATAAAGAACTGAGAAGACTCAGCTGAGAAGATACAGACAATGCCCTAAATGATAATTTTTTTAAAAAAGATACACACCAAGGTGCATTACTAGGAACTTTCAAAATGTCAGGGATTAGAAACAAAAAAAATCATAAAAGCCTCCAGAGAGGAATAACAAATCACATGAAAAGAAAATAATCAGATTGGTATCAGACTTCTCACTGGAAGGTATAAGATAATGGAGCCACAAGCTCCTTTAAAATTCTAACTAAAAATGATTTTCAACATAATTCTATACCCAGTTAAACTATCCTTTCAAGGTTTTACAGTAAAGATAAGTGATGTGTCAAGTTTCCAAATATTTACTGATTATATACTCTTTCTTAGAAGTTTTACAGTATATATTCCATAAAATAGGATAAATTAAGAAAAGGAAAGACTTTAAACCCAGGAAGATAGTGGTTGTAACATAGGAGAGGAATGAAAGGACTTCCTAGGATGATGGAGAAGGAAGTGCCAGGACAAAAACAGTTTCAGGCCTACAGAGCAAACAGTCCATGTTTGAATAGAAAGAAGGAAGGCTCTATGAAGACATTTCCCATGAATAAAACAAAAGCAACAGATTGTAAACAAAGTGGCAAACAAGGTGTTGACAAGTTAGGACTTAGTCTGTAAGTCAAGAAAAACTAAGCAAATGAAAACAATGAAGCAACTATTAGCTCCAAGCACCACACCATCCCCCCCTAGTTTACCCCACAATAAATAAATAAATAAACCCTTTAAAATTGTTGTTTAATAAAGAAAATGTTATCATAGTACACTACTAGGCTAAGTAAAATAAAATTTTAAAAAGTAAACACCAAGAACAAAGTACGTAAAAACTCTTGCATACAAAAATAGAGAAAGCATAAATAATTTTTACATTCTATCACATATGTTCTCATTAAGACCTGAAGTTAAGTGGCCCCCAGTTGTACAGCTAAGGAGAGCAGCAAAGGCTTAAATGTTCCTTCCTGGTTACGCAGTCTGATTCATTCTAAAAGGTTTTAAACCCGTGAGAAACTGGCTACATGATTAGGTTATAAGAGGATATAAAATCAACTTACTTATCACCATCTTAAGGCATTCTGGATTGTCTTGAATAAGTGGTTCAGCTTGTACTGTTTTACTTAAGAAATTCTTTGATATAAGAGGAAACCTGACTTTAGCAAGGATATCAACCATAAATGGCTGGCGATTAGGTTCATCGTATTTCAACCACCTGACTGCAGCATCATAAACCTAAGGGGAAAAACAGCATAGTAAAGTCCATGGATGGCAGCAACACTTCCAATTACCTATGTTTACTCTCACATTGCAGGCAGAGAACCTCAAAAAAGGGACAACCTCTTATTCCCAATATTTTATTAAAATACTTGCTTTCATCCCCAAACATATGCCTCTACTTTGGAACAGTTCATACGTTGCTCTAATGATTCTTGTAGGTAATTTGTTTCCTAAAATATATTACTACCACATAATGTAATTACAGGGAGGACATTGCATTTATGACTATTAATTAAACAAACAAAAGAAAAAAAACAAGGAAATACAGCTTCCTTTTTGGAAGGAGATCTGATGTGCATTTGTACTGAAAAAAATCTATTCTATGATAATTTCAACATATGCTTAATATGGTACCAAGAAAAAAGGTCAATTTCCCAAGAATAAACCCCAGGAAATATGAAGATCATGTATAATTTTATTTCAATCTTTTATTCCTGAATCATGAACTGACAGACATATATGTGTTCCAGAACCTTTAAGATATACAAATTCTATACTTAAAAAATAAATCACATAATATTATCTTTCAAAATAATACTGTAGCATTCATTTAACTGCAATGAATTAAGTCCAATTTATTAACATGCTTCAATTTACAAATCATTAAGCACATTAAAAACAAATCTATTATCTCATATACACACATATACCAGACTCTCATACATGTTTGAGCTGGTTAAGTAAGTTAATTATAGAGAAGTATTAATAAGTTACAAGTTCTAATCTCCTTAAGAGTTGTCCATGTATTTTTATGGGGATTGGTCTATTTTTTAAGTAAGTTTTTTTTTTTTTTTTTTAATTTAGAATAGTTTTAGATGTCTACCACTTGGTTGTCAGATTGGCCTGATAATCTAGGTTGCATATTGCTGTGATGCTGGAAGCTATCTCACCAGTATTTCACATACCAGCAGGGTCACCCAAGGTGGACAGGTTTTAGCAGAGTTTCTAGACTAAGACTAGCAAGAAGGACATGGTGATCTACTTCTGAAAACACTGGCCAGTGAAAACCTTATGCAGTGGAACACTGTTTGGTATAGTGCCAGATGATGAGCCTCTTAGGTTGGAAGGCACTCAAAATATAACTGGGGAAGAGCTGCCTCCTTAAAGTAGAGTCAACCTTAATGATGTGATGGAGTAAAGCTTTTAGGACCTTCATTTGCTGATGGGGCATGGCTCAAAATTAAGAAACAGCTGCAAACATCCAATAATAATCAGAACATGGAATATACAAAGTATGAACCTAGGAAAATTGGAAGTTGTCAATTATATAAAATGAAATGGAACGCACAAAGATCAATATTCTAGGCATTAGTGAGATGAAATGGACAAGTACTGACCATTTTGAACTGGCTAATCATATGGTCTACTGTGCCAGGAAAGACAAATTGAAGAGGAATGGGGTTTCATTCATCTTCAGAAAGAACCTTTCAAGATATATCCTAAAGTCTAAAGCTGTCAGTGATAAGAAAATATCCACATGCCTACAAGGAAGACCAGTTTATATGACTATTATTCACATTTACCTACCAACTACTAATGCCAAAGATGGAGAAATAGAAGATTTTTACCAACTTCTGCAGTCTAAAATTGATTGAACATGCAGTCAAGATCCACTTGTAATTGGAATGTGGACGTTGGAAATAGAAGGACCAGTAGCTGGAAGATATGGTCTTAGTGACAAAAATGATGCTAGAGATCACATGATAGAATTTTGCAAGACCAAAGACTTATTCATTACAAATGTTTTTCATACAACAACATAAACAGTGACTAGATTCATACTTCACATTTCATGGATCTTGCCAGATGGAATACACAGGAATCAAATCAACTACATCTGCTCAAAGGCAATGGAGAAGCTCCATGTCATCAGTCAGAAAAAGGCCAGGGACCAACTGTGGAAAAGACCATCGATTGCTCATATGCAAGTTTAAGCTGAAGCTGAAGAAAATTAAAAAAAGTCCATGAGAACCAAACTACGACTTTGAATATATCCCACCACAGTCTAGAGACCATCTTAAGGATAGATTTGATGTACTGAACAATAACTACTGAAGACCAGATGAACTATAGAAGAATATCATACACAAAGAAAACAAAAGTCATTAAAAAGACAGGGGAAAAAAAAAGTATTATAATGAAATGTGCAAAGACCTGGAGTTAGAAAACCAAAAGGAAATATGCTAAGCATTTCTAAAGCTGAAAGAACTGAATGAAAAATTCAAGTCTTGAGTTGTCATATTGGAGGATTCTATGGGCAAAACATTGAATGACACAAGAAAGTGTCAAAAGAAGATAGAAGGAATACACAGAGTCACTGTACCGAAAGGAACTGGTCTACCATTTTACGAGGCACATATAATCAAGAACTGATGGCAGTGAAGGAAGAAGTCCAAGCTGCCCTGAAGGCACTGGTGAAAAACAAGACTCCAGGAATTGCTGGAATACCATGGCGATGTTTCAACAAATGCATGCAATGCTGGAAGAACTCACTTGCTATGTCAAAAAATTTGATGACAGCTACTTGACCAAGTGTTTGGAAAAGATCCTTATTTGTGTCCATTTCAAAGAAGGGTGATTCAACAGAATCCAGAAATTATTGAACAGTATCATTAATATCACACACAAGTAACATTTTTCTCAAAATAATTCAAAACTGGTTGCAGCAGTACATACACAGAGAAGTGCCAGAAACTCAAGCTGAATTCAGAAGAGGATGTGGAATGAGAGATTATTATTGCTGATGTCAGATAGATCTTGGCTGAAAGCAGAGAATAACACAAAGATGTTTACTTGTGTTTTATTGACTATGTGAAGGCATTTGACTGTGTGGATCATAAATTACATATAACACTGCAAAGAATGGGAATCCCAGAACACTTATTGTACCCATGTGGAACCTATACACAGATCAAGAAGCAGTTGTTAGAACAGTGTAAGGTGATACTGCATGGTTTAAGATCAGGAAAAGTGTGAGGCAGAGCTGTATCCTTTCACCATACTTACTCAATCTGTGTGCTGAGCACATAATCTGAGAAACTAGACTATATGAAGAATAACATAGGATGAAGGTTAAAGACTCATTAACAACCTGTAATATGCAGATGACAAAATCTTGCTTGCCAAAAGCGAAGAGGACTTGAAGCACTTACTGATGAAAATCAAAGACTACAGCCTTCAGTATGGATTGCACTTCAACAAAAATCCTCACAACTGGACCAGTAAGCACCATCATGATAAACGGAGAAAAGGTTGAAGCTGTTAAGGATTTCATTTTACATCCATAGAAGCAGCAGTCAAGGTATCAAATGATGTATTGCATTGGGTAAATCTGCTGCAAAAGATCTCGTGTTCAAAAGCAAAGATGTCACTTTGAGGACTAAGGTACATCTGACCCAAGCCATGGTATTTTTAATGACTTCATATGTATGCGAAAGCTGCACAATGAATAAGGAAGACCAAAAAAGAATTGATGCCTTTGAATTATGGGATTGACAAAAACTACTGAATATACCATGGACTGCCAGAAGAATGAACAAATCTGTCTGGGAAACAGTATAGCTGCTTCATCACAGCACTATTCACAACAGCAAAGAGATGGAAACAACCTAATTCCTATCAATGGATAAATAAACTGTGGTACATATACAAAACGGAATACTATGCAACCCTATAATAATAATGTAGAATCTGCAAAACACCACATAATGTGGATAGACTTGAGACATTATGCTGAGTGAATTAAGTCAATCACAGAAGGACAAATATTGTATTAGTCCATTATCATAAAAAGTCAAGGAACGTTTTACACATAGAAGGAAATTTTCTTTGTTGGTTACCAGGGATGGGAGGGGAGGGGTGAGAAAATTCCTAGATAGGTTGGGAGGAAAAATTTGTAAATAAACCAAAGATTATTAGTGGTTATCAGGGATGAGGGGGAAAGGAAAAGCTCTTGTTTGGGGGGCATTGAGTTTATGCTAATAGGTGGGATATTTTGGAAAAGTTTAGCAACAATGGTGGCACAACATGAAAAAATATAATCAATGTCCCTGATTTGTAAATGTGGAAGTTATTGGCGAATGTCTTGTTGCATATGTTTTCACCACAATAAAAGCAAAAAGAAAAAAAGTAAAGCCACAACGTTTAGTAGTGAGGATGGTGAGACTTTGTCTTACGTTATCAGGAGGGACCAGTCCTAGGTGAAGGACATCATACTTGAAAAAGTAGAGAGGGTTGGGGGAAAAAGAGGAAGACCCTCTTTTTTTCCAGAGCAAGACGGACTGACCCAGTGGCTGCAACCATGGTCTCAAACAGCAATGATTGTGAGGATGGCACAGGACCCGGCAGTGTTGTGTTCTGTTGTACACAGGGTCGCTGGGAGTCAGAACTGACTCGATGGCATCTAACAACAAGTTTTAGATGTATAGAAAAGATGCAAAAATAGTATAAAGAACTCCTATATACCCTGCATCCCTTACTAATATGTTATATTAATATAATACATTCATCACAATTAATGAACCAATATTGATACATTATTAGTAACTAAAATTCATACTCCTTTCAAGGAGCCTTGGTGATGTAATGGTTAAGGGCTTGGCTGTCAAACAGAAAGGTAAGCGATTTGAATCCACTCAGTGGCTCAGCAGGAGAAAGACCTGGCAATCTCTTCCCATGAAGATTACAGCCTTAGAAACACTATGGGCCACTTCTACTCTGTAAAATGGGGTCATTATGAGTTGAAAACTGACTAAATGGCAGCAACCACTACCACCTTTTTTTTTTCTTTTTCAGATTATTTAGTTTTTATCTAAAGAAGTTATATCCTTGGGCCCCATACAGGATACAACATGACATTTAGTCATCATGTCACCACAGGCTCCTCTAGAATGTAACAGATTCTCAGACTCTCTTGGTATTGGTAATCTTCATAGTTTTGAGGAGCTCTGGTAAAGTATTTATAGAATGTCCTTCAACCTGGGTTTGTCTGATACTTTTCTCATGATTAAATTAAGGCTATGGTTTTTTAGGAGGAAGACTACAGTGGTGAAGTGCCATACCCATTACATTTCATCAAGGGTACATGCTATCAACATGACTTATCACCGATGATGTTAATCTTGACCATCTGGCTGAGGTGTTTGTTAGGTCTTTCAGCCTAAAGTTACTCTTTTCTTCCCTTTCCATACTGTATATAAGTCAACTAATTTTGAAAATTTAAATGACTTTTTTCTTTCTACCCAATCAGGACATCCACTTCCAACCTGCCAACTTTTAAATCAATACTATGAGCCATGGAAACCAGGCAACAAGAACATGGTTTAGTACAAACTTTTTATCTTTAAAACAAAAGTGACTCAAAGCATATGACTGTCTTACAGTACCTGCAGTAGTTGCTGGGTGGTATAAATGACGAAGCACTGGGCTCCTAGAAGAAAGGTTGAGGGTTTGAACCCAGCTAGAGGTATCTTGGGAGACAGACTTGGTGATCTGCTTCCAAAAGGTCACAGCCTTGAAAACCCTATGAAGCAGTTCTACTTTGCACAATGGAGTTGCCATGAGTTGGAACTGACTCCATAGCAACAAAAAAATAACAAGTAGTTTCCTATTGCTGCTGTTAACAAATATGGTAAGTTTAGTGGCTTAAAACAACACAAATTTATCTCACAGTTCCAGAAGTTAGAAGTCTGATGTGGGCTTCACTGCCCTAAAATTAAGGTGCTAGCAGGCTGTGTTCCTCTGGAGATGATAGGGGAGAATCCATTTCTTTGCCTTTTTCAGTTTCAAGTGGGCCCTTCCTCCATCTTCAAAGCCAGCAATAGCCAATCTAGTCTTTCTCACATTGCATCACTCTGACATAGACTCTTCTGCATCCCTCATCCATATTACATTCAGCCCAACCAGATAATAAATCTCTCCACCTCAAGATCCTTAACTAAATTATATCTGCAAATTTTGCCATGTAAGGTCATATACTCATGAGATCTAGGGATTAGGACATGGCCATCATTGGGAGAGACATTATTCTGCCTACCATGATATAATAGTTTTACCTTTACCAAAAGGCCTATCTCTCAATAGCCAGTCCTAATAAGCACCAAAGGTTTACTCCTCCTATAAAACAGACTTTGGAATTCCCTGTTTAGTGTTAAAATATATATTCTCTCCTAATGTGACTGTTTTCCTTGTATTCTCTTCAAACATTAGGTATAAAAGGTCAATAAGGACATTTTATTAAGGAAAGTATGGGGAGGCAATGTAGTCACCTGATCCTCTGCTCTCACAGTCAGAGTGTCCTGGTTGAGGAGGTGTGTTACTCGCTTAACATCAAGTTGTAGAAACTCATCAGTTTTGTAAACTTCAGTAAAATGCTGATGAATAAAGTCATCTGCAGTTGCTTTCAATTCGGGGCAGTCTAGGCACTCTGCTAGAACACTTATACCTAAACACAGGAAGAAAATAGTTCTTATAAAAATGAAATACACCTTGAAGATAAAGCATGACTTCAAGAAAATTAGACTGAATTTCAGAAATCTGATTATGCCTGATAAGAAAATTTACTATTCCCATACTTATTTTTTTTCTTTATTAACTACAATGATGAAATCACCAGTGAAAAGTTGAATAGTACCATGTTTCCCTGTAAAAAAATATTTGTTGTAGATTTGTGACACAAGTTAATGAAGCATTCTATTTCTAGTTTAAATTTTTTTTTTTAATACATCAGAAATGGGTACTCATGTACCCATTTTGTTTATACTGTGTTTTCAGTATCTATTGTTTTTAAGTATTTATTTTTCTCCTATATCTTATTACTGGCTGGCTGTCACTGTTGTCGAGCCTGATCCAACTCACAGCGACCCCTCCTTGGGTCTCCGAGGAAGTATCACTATGGAAGTAGATTACTCAACCTTCCTTCTGAGGAGTGGCTGGTGGGTTTGAACCACCAGCCTTCTAGTTAGCAGTCTAATGCCTCAGGCATTACGCCACCAGAACTCCCATAACTTATTAGTATAGTAAATTATATTTTTTAACATTGAGCCATTTTTGCATTTCTGAAATAATTTTCACCTGATCAAGAATTATTCTTTTTAAAAATACATTCATTGCTGGTTTTATTATTTTTAGTGTTTTTAAAAACCAGTGTTTTTAAGTAACACTGGCCTAAAGTGTCATATGTCTTTGCATGTATGTATGCACACATTCTTTGCCTGCTGTTGGTATCATGGCAATACTACTCTTGTAGAATGAGCTCGAAAGTTTTCTATCCTTACGTAATTTTAACTGTTGTAAATTATAGATAAGCATTAATATGTTCTTTGAAAGTCTGACAGAATAACCCATAAAGCCATCAAGCCTGCAGAATTCACTGGGAACAGACCTTCTTTCAACTGCTGCTGAGGTTACTAGTTTCAGGTTTTCTACTTTTGGTTTTTTGTGCTATGCTTTTATACCTATAGTTCAAATTCTTGATATCTGTGGTTTGATCTTTTCTTCCTGATGGGATTTGTTAAGTTTGCAACTATTCTATGCTCTTCTTTAATACAATTAGCTTTTGCTTTTCTGGTCAAATCTATAATCTATTAGTTTTTTCTATTTCATTGATTTACACTTTTAAGAGTATTTTCTTTTACTTTAATTGGGTATTTAAAATTATTTTTCCTACCTCCTTGAGAATACATGGTCAAAAAAAAGAGTAGCCAGTAACTTTATTTTCAATGTCTTTTTAAAAGTACTTTTCCAAATAACTCCTCAGTTAAATTTCTAAGTGTAGAGATTAGGGTGGTGGTGGTAGGGTAGCAACAGGTATCCTTCTGTGGTTAATTTCTGGTTTTACTGTACTATAATCAGAGAATGTGGCCTCTGCCTCTTCTCTTTTAGATTCTCAAGATTTTCTGTGGTTAGTGATCATTTATAAACACTCCAAAGATGCCTGAAAACATTCATATTTTCTGATTGCTGGATAAACATTCTGTGACATCTATCTAAGCAAGTTTGTGTTATTCAAATCCTTACACTTTTCCTAAGCCTTATGTTTGAGACTTCTGGGCAATTTTATGAATTACTCAATAGCCTTTCAATAAATTCCTCTTCTGTTGAAACCAGCACAAGTCGATTTATTTTGCTTGTAACTAAGAAGTCTGACTAGTACATCCCTTTCTTGGGACCTTTACCTCTCATGTGGTATAGTACTTCCCTCCATACTTTTCTCAGAAGGGATCTAGGTACATACATTATTATATCCTTGAAAAATCCCAAATAAATGATGTCTTAGAATAGAATCCTTTTTCCTCCTCTTATTATTTGCAAACCTTGTGCTACTATCTTCTAACTTTGTGTTGTTGTTGTTGTTACGTGCTGTCAAGTTGGACGCGACTCATAGCGACCCCTCCTTGGGTTTCCAAGGCAGTATCACTACAGAAGTAGATTGCCCCATCTTCCCTCTGAGGAGTGGCTGCTGGGTTTGAACTGCTAGCCTTCTGGTTAGCAGTCAAGTGCCTTTAGGCACTATGCTACCAGAGCTCCTAACTTTGTGTTACAGATAAGAAATTATTACTATTCCAATTCTCCTTCTTTTCTAAGTAACCTGCTGTATTAGTTACCTACTGCTGCAAGACAATTCCAAAACTTAGTGGCTCAAAATAATGAAAATGTATTATTTCTCACAATTTTATAAGCTCAGGTGAGTGGTTCTTCTAGTCTAGGGTGGCTTGGCTGATCTCTGCAGTAAGCTAGTTGCTTGGCTGGGACTGGATGGTATAGAAAGGCCTCATTCACATATTTGGTAACAGGCAGGCTGGTTGGTCCAGGAGGCCTCCACTAAGATAGCTCATCTCTGTTCCTAGGCTTCTTTTCAAGAGCTCCCAAAACAAAGGACGGCAAGCAGCTTTTAAGCCTCTGCTCATGTCACATTTGCTAATGCCCAATGAGATAAAGCAAGTCACATGGCTAAGCCCAAGTCACACTGCAAAGGGGTGTATACATAGGGAGGGAAAGAATTTGTCATCATTTTTAAAAATATTTTCTCTTTGAAAAGTTTATAAATTCTACCTTTTTCCCCCTATTTATTGTGGTACATAAACTTATTATCAGTGGCAGTACATTTATAGTGTTGTCCCACCATTACCACTATCTAGCTTCACAACATTTTCATCATCCCAAATGTAAGTTCTCTCTTGATCTTTGGAAGTAGGAGCTCTGGTAGCATAGTGCCTAAGGCACTTGACTGCTAACCAAAAGGTTGGTAGTTCAAACCCGCCAGCCACTCCTCGGATGGAAGATGGGGCAATCTACTTCTGTAGTGATACTGCCTCGGAAACCCAAGGAGGGGTCGCTATTAGTCAAGTCCGACTCGATGGCACACAACAACAACAACAACAGGGCTCAGTATGACTTAATTTTTTTAAGCGCAAGTAAGTTCTCTTCTATTATTTCTTCAATTACTGCTTTTGTTACATCTGTTCCTTCCAGGACTTCTATTTCACACTAGTGTCCCTGTATCTTTCTTTCTATCCAGAAGCTCCCCTGCAACCTGTTCACTGTGGGTGATCCTACTGGTATTGAAATACCTGTGGTATAGCTTCCAGCATCATAGCAACAGGCAAGCCACTACAGTATGACAAATTGACAGATGGGTGGTGAGTAGAAGGACTAGCAAGAAAAGCATGGCAATCTACTTCCAAAAATTAGCCAGTGAAAACCTCATGGATCACAACAGAGTAATACCCAACTCACTTGCTTCGGAAATATCATTAGAAAGGATTAATCACCAGAAAGGATGTCATATTTGGTGAAGCAGAGGGCCAATGAGGGCCTGGGGGACCCTCTGTGAGAAGCACTGGCATATAGCTGCCATGACTCAAATATGCTGGTGACTGTGAGGATGACAAAGAGCCAGGCAATGTTTCATTCTGTTGTACATGCGAATGACATGAATTGGAGTCTACTTGATGGCAACTAACAACAACAATCTTCCTTCCATATCTTTTATCTTTTCACTAATGGTTCCCATTTCTTTGAACTACTGTTTATATCATAAGGTAGTTCGTCCTGGTTTATCCTCTTTAGTAAGTTTTTTAGTAGTATCCTTTTTACTTTTCAATTGAACTGAATTTTAAAACTGGAAAATCATTTTTCCCCCCTTCAAATGCATCCTTTCTATTTCTTACATTAAATTTGTTTATAGGAGCCATTCATTTTGCCTGTTTAGCTTGGTTTTCTCTCCTTGAAACTACTGGGTTTCCTTCAACTTTGTGATCTTTGCTCAATTCTATAAGCTGGCCTAGGTTTCTCTAGCACTTGTGGAAGTCAGACTGTTGTGAGCTCCTGGATGGCAGAGAACTGACAGAGTTCTTCTCCAACTGGCTCCCAGGGAATGCCACACCCAGGGCTATACACAAAGCAGGCAGAAGTGGTTACCTTGGGTACTGAGTGGCTGCCCAGACTCAATAGGCTGGGCCACTGGCTTCACCTAAGTTTTGGCCAGGTTTTAGGCTGCTGGGCTATCCTCCCTCCCAGCTTTGTAAACAATGATGACAGAAGCTGTCTCTAGATAAAACCCCTAAATGATTTCCTCAGAAATCCAAAGCCCTAGATGTGCCTAGCACTAACTGCAGGGGCTTTCTGCCTCTACATTTACGCTCTACTTCAGCTGTTTTTCTTTCTAACTGAATCAAAAAAGTAAGAAATTTAGAGAGCTAGGGAGTTAGAAAAGTATACTTAAGGCATTATCTTCCAAGATTTTCTTTAAATAATTACCTTCTTAGAATACATTTTATAAGAATATTTGCCCACAAAGGTGGAAATAAACTTAGATCTCAGTAATACTGAATTTTATTGATAAATAGAGCCCAAACTATGGCCCAGAAAGACGGGAACTCATCCAAGTCTGTCTCTGCTGCATATACGAGATTGGAAGCTAGTTTTTTATGTTCTAATATAGTGATCTTTTCAATATGTAGATTCATGGCCTTTGAAGGCAGTATATTCACCTGCATAGTTGTTTCCCTTCCAGTTTCCATCCAGTCTAATTCCGTCTCTGGATACCAGGCCAAGTCTCATTCTTAAACCTTTCTGCCTGGCTTCCCCACCCCACCAGCTGCCATCAAGTCAATTCTGACTCATGCAGCCCCAGGTGTGCAGGGGCAGAACTCCATGGGGTTTTCAGTGGCTGAGTTTTTGGAAGAAGATTGCCAAGCCTTTCTTCCCAGGTGCCTCTGGGTGGACAACATTATCTGAATTCCAATAACAGCTCCTCCATATACTAGCTATGTGACATCTCAGGCAAGTTATATAACCTTAAATTTCCTCGACCATGAAGGAGGAGATGATGTGCCTGTGAGGATTAAATGAGATGATCCAAGTAAAATATCTTGTACAGACTTTGGCATATCATAAGTGCTTAGGTAAAAGTAAACATTCATATTTATGTTACCATATACCACACCACCACCAAACGCAATCCTTACTCCTTCCCTACATACATGAAAACCTATTATTAAAGTCATATTATATTCTGGAAAATGTTGATAGAACATTTAGTGGGCCTATTGCTGCCTAGGTTAATTAATATGTATGTCCCCAAGCTCCTCTTAAAATTCATTATTAGAAAATGTTCTAGTGAGCAAGAATGAGGATCCTTCTGACCATTTTCTTTTTTCTTTGTTAAAATACCCATCTGATTTCTTACCAAGACAATTTGAAGCATCAACTTGTTCTTTCAAAAAATCAACACACATTTTCTTCACAGGTTCAATTTGATACTGGTTTGCTGCATCTAACAAAGACTGCACATTGTTGCTATTCACAGAAATCCTGCAAATTAAAGTGAATATTAATTTTCCACAATTTTTTATTATTACCACGTAACATATTCTACTAGCACTGGAAAAAAACAAAATTAAAGATTTCATTCCTAGAATTAGTATAGTACAGAGTTCTCGAGCTCCTCTGTCCTTGCAGTGCTTCATGCTGAAGAATTTGGAGCATGTCAGTTACTAGAAGGCTTTGCCATAATAGATGCCAACATATTCCTCTAAAACAAAAATGATTCTTCTTAACTCACCTCGCAGTATAAGCAAATTCCACAAGTTGTTCAATAATGTCAGGTTCAGCATCTTTGAGTTCTACTTCAAATGATTTTGATTCAAGCATGTTAGCTAAAATCAAAAGAAGAAACATAAATGTCATTAGTACTAACACTAGTTTAACAGAGGCTCTAGAGCACTTGACGCCATGTTAAATAAGGAGAATAACAGGATGAATTTCTCTGAAAGAAAGTATATTAGAAAGCCATATATTTCTATAATAAATGCAAATTCATTCTCTACACTTGAGATGTGCCTTAAATGAAAATAATCTAAGAAATTAGCGTTGCAGTGGTATGTGCTGTTGAGATTTCTTACTTATGGTGATCCCATGTGATAGAGAGTAAAACTGCTCTATAGGGTTTTCTAGACTGTAATCTTTATGGAAGCAGACTGCCAGTTCGTTCTCCTGCAGAGTCACTGGGTGGGTTTGAACTGCTGACCTTTCAGTTAGTAGCAAAGTTCTTAACCACTGTGTCACCAGGGCTCCTTCTTAAAAAAAAAAAAAAAAAAAAAAAAAGCACAAGTAGACAGTCATAAAACTAGAGTTAGTTTTTTCTCCACTTTCTAAAATAATTTAGTAGCACTCTTTTAAATTGCCATTAGCAAAGTTCTTCTGATGTAGCCTGAATAAACCTATATGAACAATGGCAACTATACGTAAGTTATCTACAGCCTGCAAATCTCTCATAACTCCTAAAAACCTTGGTAGGTAGTCAGTACACCAAAGAGAAAACCTGAGGCAGATAAACTATAACTTGATCAAACTCATTAGCAGTACTAAGCAGAAGAACGAGAACCTGGACCCAGTTTTTCAACTCCAAATCTAGGGTTCTTCCTAGTATAGTAAAACCTGTGAAAGACAGAACTTATGTAAGGTAGAAATCTGTCACAGAGGGAAAACTCAAATATTTTCCACTAAAACAAGTGGTAGAAAAGTGGTGAGAATGCATCCTGCCAAAGGTGGAAAACTTGCAAGACTCAGAAAAACAGGGCTGTCCTGCGGAGTTCCAGCTCTCAAGGTTTCACTGTATAAGCTATATCTCATTTCTTTTATTAGTTTACTTTGCTAAATAAAATGTCATGAGATTTATCTGCTGTTTTACCTTTCCATCAGAGGTTAAGAAGAAAACCTCAAGCATTCAAGTAGAAGCCATATCTCCATCAATAAGGCATTTGGCCCTTAGGTCTAACTTAAGGACATTTTCCTTTTGATCAGTTATCATGATGACCACTTTTCAACTTCTTTACTCTTCTATGGCTTTAAGTGCTTAAGTGCTTTAAAAACTAGGGAAATAGCATATTTTCATATAGTGGCCAAAGAAAAAATAATCACATGTTTTACCTAAAGATACTTACTTGTGAACATTAAGTTAAAAAAATGACTGGCTGCAGCAAGGACAACACGATGAGCAGGTATCTTTCTTTCCTGGACCATGAGGATCACATCACACAAAGTTTTCTAATTAAAAGAGAAATACATAAAATCAAAAGGGGCCCACTAGGCCTAGGAATACATATAAAACAGGGGCTTAGCAAATGCTTTACCTCAATTTTCTATTTAAATCTGGTCTTTTTACAGGAATTTATTTATAATATAAGACATATGTAGGAAGGACTTACAGAGCTGTTATTACCTAGTATCAAAATTTGGCACTGAGTTCAAATAGTCGGGGGCGGGGGAGGAAAGAAAAGTTTCTTATAATCAGAAAGGAATAAGTTTACTAACCATTTAGGGAAGTCAAAGATTTTTTAAAAGTAACTTTGTATTGTGATTTGGGTTAAAGTTTACAGAGCAAATTGGTTTTCCATTCAACAATTCACATGCGTTTTGTTTTGTGACACTGATTGCAATTCCCCTAGCATGACAGCACCTTCTCATCTGCTCTCTGTGTGTACTCTTTCCATTCCTGATTTGGTATTCCAATTTATTTAGACACAGATTATAAAATAATTCCATACAATTTTATGGGGGGTATTATATGACACAATGACAATGTCCTTGAGTTTTTCAAACTCAACAATCTGCTTTTGTATGATTTTTTTTCCCCAATTATCTATCCCTGATAAAATTCTGAGCATACTTTGTCTTTCCAAAGAAAGTAGCCTTCCACAGATCTAACTTGAAAGAGAAACAACTCAGAATACATAGTGGATGAACCAAATGTTCTGGGCAATCTTTTCTTACAAACACTTCTCTCAAATGCATTTCTGAAGGGAGCTGGATGACAGCCAATTTAAAATTTCTGATCAAGGCCAAAGCGGCTGCTGAAAGAAAGCAGACCTGGATTCAATATTTAATTAAAAGGTTGGAAAAATAGAATATTAGAGGAAAAACGTTTAAGGCTACTGGAACCCCTAAAGATGAATTTCAAGGAAAAATAAATGATATCCTTTTTGTCAAATGAAATTTCAATTTCATAGTGAAGTTAAAGAAATAGTGTACAGGTTAGGCTTGCAGAAAATTTGTTGCCTACAAAGTGTTAAGGACTATGGTAAACCAAACCAAACCAAACTCACTGCTGTTGAGTAGGGTCCAATTCATAGCGACCCTCCTTGGATTTCCGAGACGGTATCACTATGGAAGTAGATTGCCCAACCTTCCTTCTGAGGAGTGGCTGGTGGGTTTAAACCACCAGCCTTCTGGTTAGCAGTTAAATGCCTCAGGCACTATGTCACCAGAGCTCCCAAGGACTATGGTAGGCACTGGGAATACAAGGCAAATAATATATTCACAGTAAAAAAAAACAAACAATCTTTTATCATTCACACATCTAAACATGGCTTAGTACATCAGAGCATAAGGCATTTTGCACATTTTAAGTATTTTACTGAAACTATTAATGTAGTTTTTGATAGATACACATCATTGTTATTTCCTACTTTTATTACTTCATGAATAAAAATCTGACTAAGTAAACAATGTTTAGAATAAGAAGGGAAAATGGGGCCCAAATAGTAGACTAACAGATGAACAAAAGTTCATTTTTACAGACTATTTGAAGATTTTATTATAAGGGCTATAGGCTTATGTTTAGAAATTATATGTAGATTAGTCATAGCTAAAGCTATTTTTAAGGGCCACTGGTCCCTGGTGGTACAGGAATTAAGCACTCAGCTACTACCCAAAAGGTTGGCAGTTCAAACCCACCAGCTGCTCCATAGAAGAAGGATGTGGCGGTCTGCTTCCATAAAGATTACAGCTTTGAAAACCCTATGGGACAATTCTACTCTGTCCTATAGGGTCACTATAAGTTGGAATTAACTTGACAGCAATGGTTTCTGTAAAAGCTAATTTTATCCCCATAGTGTCTTGAATTTTGAAATTTTTATTACCTTTGATTTATACTCTGAGTACAGAGTAGGCACAGTTCTCAGGTGATTTTGCCCCATACCACATCAAAACCACACTGTGTGCTTACTACCAAAACAAGCTGATCAAGTTGCTTAGAAGAAAGGGAGAAGAAAAGGAAGGAAGGGCAAATTGATGGAGTATCAAACAAATCAGATCATAAAGTTCACATAGGGAAGAAATCTATGGCTGCTGATGAGAAGTTGCAGAAAACGTAGGGCTCCACTCCTCGGAAGGAAGGTTGGGCAATCCTACTTCCGTAGTGATACTGCCTCGGAAACTCAAGGAGGGGTCGCTATGAGTCGGGTTTAACTCGACGGCACATAACAACAACAACAAACTGAAATTTAGGAGCTTTGGTGGCATAGTAGTTAAGGCATTTGACTGCTAACCAGAAGGCTGGCAGTTCAAAACCACCAGCCACTCATTGGAGGGAAGGTTGGGCAATCTACTTCCGTAGTGATACTGCCTCGGAAACCCAAAGAGGGGTCGCTATGAGTTGGGTCCGACTCGATGGCATACAACAACAACAACAAACTGAAATTCAACAACCTTTTCCAAGGCATACACAGGAACAGGGAGCTTTATTAGAGCAAATTTATAGAAGTTAGGGAAACAAGAGACATCTTTGAATGCCACTGATTCAATCTAACATTAATAATCTCCAGCTGGATATCAATGTTGTATGTATGTGGGGGGGAGGTGGTATAAGACAGAAGGAATCTTTTGTATCTAAATGGTTCATTCATTTAACTATACCACAATGGATTGATAGGTTTCAAAAAGAGATGGAGCTGACCTAGAAAGAGAGGTCCTTTCTGCTTTCTGTCATCTGGGAAAGAGGTGTGTATCCACAGACAGGAGATGAGAAGGGACAGAGATCTCTGTAAACTGGAGAACGTGAGAGATAAGAAGTCCTATGTGAGATGAAGGGTGGTAAACTTAAAAACAAACAAACACAACAACCCAATTTTTAGACAATACATGTTCACTGGATAAAACTTGAGAAAGAAACAAAGAAACTTTGCAATCATTCTATTCATATTCCTGTTTATGTAATACATACACATAATACAAATATCTTTTTATTTATTATTTTCACCTTTAAATCTTTGTTGTTGTTGTTATGTGCTGTGGAGTTGGACCCGACTCATAGAGTCCTCTCCTTGGGTTTCCGAGGTGGTATTACTACGCAAGAAGATTGCCTAACCTTCCCTCTGAGGAGTGGCTGGTGGGTTTGAACCGCCAGCCTCCAGGTTAGCAGTCAAGTGCCTTAGGCACTATGCTACCGGAGCTCCTTTAAATCTTTAGGCATCTCTTAAAACAGCAAATATTTTGTGTGACTTAATTTGTAGTTAATCTCACCATCTAAGATTATTTTTAGTAGGGTATAGTTTAATCCTTTGATATTTATTATTGATAACTTAAGTTTTATTTTCCAGTAATACATCAGACATAAGGTTTTAACTGGCCAAATTTTTCAGAAGTGGGTCATTAACAACCTGTGATATGCAGATGATATAACCTTGCTTGCTAAAAGTGAAGAGGACTTGAAGTATTTACTGATGAAGATCAAAGACTATAGCCTTCAGAATGTATTATATCTCAACATAAAGAAAATGAAAATCCTCCCAATTGGACCAGTAAACAACAGCATGATAAATGGCGAAAAGATTGAAGTTGTCAGGAATTTCATTTTACTTAGATCCACAATCAACCCTCCTGGAAGCAGCAGCAGTCAAGAAATCAGATGTCATTGCACTGGGCATATGTATTGCAAAAGCGCTCTTTAAAGTGTTAGGAATCAAAGCAATCACTTTGAAGACTAAGGTGAGCCTAACTGAGGCCATGGTACTCTCAATTACCTCATATGCATGTGAAAGCTAGACAATGAATCAGGAAGACTGAAGAAAAGTTGAAGGAGGTTTGGTGGTGTAGTACCAAAAAACAAACAAACAAACCAAACTTACCACCATCGAGTGAGATCCAACTCATAGCAACCCCTCCTTGAGTTTCTGAGGTGGTATTACTACAGAAGTAGATTGCCCAGTCTTCCTTCTGAGGAGTGGCTGGTAGGTTTGAACCACCAGCCTTCTGGTTAACAGTCAAATGTCTTAGCAGTAGGGATGCCTTTAAACTGTGGTGTTGGCAAAGAATACTGAAAACACCAAAAACTGCTAGAAGAACAAACAAATCTGTTCTGGAAGAAGTTCCGCTGGAATGCTCCTTGGAAGTGAGAATGAGTAGACTTCGTCTCACTTACTTTGGTCATGTGGTCAGAAGGGACCATTCCTTGGAGAAGGATATCATGCTTGGTAAAGTAGAGGGTCAGTGAAAAAGGGGAATACCCTCAACAAGATGGAATGACACAGTGGCTACAATGATAGGCTTAAGTATAGCAAGGATTGTGAGGCAGATGCAGGAACGGGCAGTGTTTCATTCTATTGTACCTAGGGTTGCTATGAGTTTGAGCCAACTGGATGGCACCTAACAACAAGGTTTCATTTTACCTGTTTTCTTTTTTATCCTACTTACCATGCTTCCTTGCTGCCCCCCCCCCTTTTTAAACTGCCAACTGCTATTTTGATCTCATTTTCTTTGTACTTTTTTCTTCCTTTACAGACTTATTTACACATCTATCAAATATTTGCAACCATATCCAGCAGGGCATTTAATTAATATTCTAGGAATATAAAGGAGGGAGGGTTCAAGACTGCTAATGGAAGGCTGGCAGTTCAAACCCACCAACCACTCCTTGGAAGGAAGATTGGGCAATCTACTTCCCGTAGAGATACCACCTTGGGAACCCAGGGAGGGGTTGCTATGAGTCAAATCAATTTGACAGCAGTGAGTTGGAGGTTTTTTTTTTTTGGTTTTCAAGAACAGTATTTCATTCAAATAATTAATCACATTAGTTTAGAAGAAAAACTTCCTGGAAAAAAAACTTCAATAAATGCCAAAAATGTATTAGGTAAAATTAAAAATTCCTGAGACTGCTAATAAATAGAAATAAAACAACAAATCTTTATGCTTAAGGTCATTCACCATAAACCAACAGCAAACATCACATTTAATGGTAACACACAAAAGGCCTTCTCATTCAAGTTTGA